GCATGCGGTAATACTCGCTTCTGAAACTCAATCGCATATATCACTGCATAACAAAAGAACAAATCAAAGGTTAATATATAAAACTATAGTAAAAGAAATAAGTTCCCTATATTTCACTTAAACAAAATAAATTATATGCAAAGTAGTACATGACTCATTTTCTGGGATCATTATGCAACTGCTTGAAGATTTGATTTTTTTTTATTTTGTAGTTGATTTATCGTTAAATCATCCATCCCACTAAATGCATGATTAAAAAAGTCCACATATTTATTCTTATTTATCTTCCCCAGTAAATACTTGATTAAGAAAATCACATATGTATTCTTATTTATTATGGTAAACTAATCGGAATGTACAACAATTTGTTATATATATATATATATATATATATATATATATATATATATATATATATATATGTGTGTGTGTGTGTGTGTGTGTGTGTGTGTGTGTGTGTTTATTATAAATAATTTTTTTTTATTAAATATCAAAAGTAAATGATTTTTTGTAAATATCTAATTTCACCTTTCCGGATGATTTTCCTTGTTTTATCTCATTTATAAGTTGGTCTAGTTTATCTTGAATACGCGATAAATAATGTACGGTATATCCTCAGGTCTCAAACCCTTTTAGCTCAAAATTCTTGTTATTTATGTTCAATTCTAATTAAATAAAAGTAATAAACAAATCAGGATATCCAACCCATCTACAAATAGCCATGGCATCCTGATAATTCTGAATCATATAGCGTACTCCTCCTGTAAAAGAGGTAGGAAATATGATTTGTTTTCCTGTTGCAGAATAATTCAATTTTCCTCTTAAGATTGCTTCTGATAATCATTTGTACCTTTCAGCTCTTAACTCTTTTCGATGATTCCGAATATACGCAAAACGATATGACTCTATCATGCTATAACCATCACCCAATAACTGCCGAAATAAACGTGTAGAGTATAACAACACATACTGCTCGTGGTCTTTTTCTTGAATTATGTATTCCAAGAATTCTCTCATTGACACCTTTTGCCTTTTGTTAGATAACATTCTACTGCTATCTTTTAATGAAACATCATCTTTGTATCTATCTTCTCCTCGTGGAAACAATAAAGGATATTGTAACGGCAAATATGCATGATTTAATACAGACGCATGTCGCAATTATTATTATAATTGTATCTCCACTATTATGTCTCTCTGAGTATCGGCACAATCATAATCACCTACAATAATTGCAGCAACTCCAGATGCAGATGGTAGGTTATATCTTCTTCCATCCCGACCTCTGGAAAGTCATTAGATTGAAACCTATCTCTGATCATTCTATAGAATTTTGCATACGGATTACAGCGATCAAGCATATCTTTGATATCAGAAATGATAGCAGCATATAATGTGTTAGTCTCCTCTTCCATACAGTGACATTTCATAAAACATACATTAGGTATCAATAAAAACATAAACATAAAAAAACACCTACTATTATTTTCAAAATAGTAGTGTTTTACCTGACAACAAGCATTTTATTTGATATTTCATTATGAGTGTCATATATGTACAATTGTGCAAATATTGGTGTTGATCTTGGAGTTGGCATTAAACTTTCAATTCTACGGTAATTCTCACCGTACATGATGAACTGCGGTGGAGCATTTATGTCATTCATTGTCCTATCAATTCTTTCACCCATGGAAGTAAAGGAAAACATCATATTAAATGACCGAATATGCTTGAGGAAAAAATTGGTTCGAGCATCATTTTTTAAGAAAACATCTTTAAGAGTTTGGGGAGGACTTATAAGAATTGGAAGTTCTATCTTTCCTTGAAGGCAACACAATGAGAATGTTGGAGTTGGCATATTCTTTTATTTATGCAATCTTTCAGCATACCACATCTATGCACCACAATGCTCGCATGGCCAAATAGGATCCCCAATATCCCAATATTCTGCATTATTTAAACAATTTTATGATTTGGAGATAAAGAATATTTAAAATAATAACAACATGCATCCGTCATTCCAATAATAGACACTTAGGTAGAGAACATATTTTGTTACAACTTAACAATAATATACAAAACAATAACATACCTTCATTGGACAAAATTGTATTCTCTACACTAGTTTCTACGTTCTCTACCGCACCGTCATGGACAAAGAATCGGGACAGGCTAGATGATGGCATATTAGCATTACGTTCACCACGTTCAACAACTTCAAAAAAGAAAATGTAAATAAACCCAGATGGTTTCTTGTAAATAAAACTTAAAAATATAGTTATGTAATTATGCAAATAATCATAATTGTAAGTACCAAAGAAAGGTAAAATACCAGGTTGACGACTTGTTGTACATTGACCAAGCATTGTATCATCGTTTGCTGATAAAATATCAGGTTGACGGTTTGTCGTACATTAACCAATCGTGCTCTCATTGTTTGCTGACGCAGATATAATCCCGTTGCTATTTATGACATATCGTCCAGCTCCTAGTGTACGTGTTTGACTATTGGTAATTGATAAGCGCGTTCTGAATGATGAACCTTGGCTGAATTTTGATTTTCATTAGTTCCGGATGACAATAGTCTCTTCTTTCGCAACCGTTGATCCATATCATGTGAAATCATAAGTTTGTGAGAGTTGCTATATATACTTTATATAGGGTAACATAAATGAATTAGCTACTTCGTGAAAACTAAAAAAAATCTTCTCGACGTTTGCTCATTCAAGTAGAGTGAATTGATAGTTTTTATTATTAAAAACCAATGAAGGATGAATATATATATATATATATATATATATATATATATATATATATATATATATATATATATATATATATATATATATATATATATATACATATATATATATATATATATATATGCTTATTTTACGTACACCCCTAGCTATCAAATAAACTAGGAATAAAACCAAGCCAAAATCATCATTTGACATACCCCTAGAGAGGCGAAAGTACTATACTACTCTTACATGCAATTTTCGGCCAAACTGCATTGAGCATTTCTAGTCTCCTGCATTTAGCATATTTGCTGATTTATATATATATATATATGTGTGTGTGTATTTATTTTTTTATTTTTTCTTAATTTTTTTTAATTGTTTTATTTCAAATCAATATGTACTGAAAATAAATAAATGTAACTACATGTAACTGTAGTAAACTATAGTAATTCGTAGTTATGTTTTTTTTATCCCATATTTTTAGTTGATCAATTATATACACACACAAATACTGGCATATACAAAACAAATTCATAAACCCCTACAACAAAAATTTACAAATTTCAATATTTTTATTATAATTCACCTCAGAACCAATAAATACAAATCGAAAATACACAAATATATGCATATGTAACTACATGTTACTATATGTAACTAGTAATGTATAATAATATATAGTAATGTACAATAATGTATACAGTATGTTGAACATTGTAACTTGAAGCAGATGTAACTTCAACCAAATTATTGGCACCTTCAGGGAAATGATCAATGACTTTCATTAACCTTCAATTGCAAAATCTTAAAAAATAATTATTTTAGTGCAAATCAACAAAAATTGAAGAAACATCAAAACACTCAAAAAATCAACAAACACTAAGAGATCGAGAGATAGAGAGAGAGAGAGGCTATAGTTGGGAAATGCTACGAATTTTAAACTAAACAGCCAGTGACTTCTCACCCCAATCGCCTCCTATCAAAACCCTAGCCGCCGCTAATAACCACCCAAGGTTCCGCGCTCACAAATGAAAAACAAATTATAAAAATAAATCCGACAATATAAAAAATCAACGAATTTACCATCAATCTATAGATCTCGACGAGAAAAATCCAACGGTGGGTTGCCCGTCAAATTTCGACTGTCGGAACACAAAATACACCTCCAGCAAGACCCACCGTCGTCGAAAATATGTGTCGACTGAAAAGCAATTGAAGAAACAGATTGAGTGCTCCAAACTGAATGAAATCACCACTGAATGGAATCCAACGGTAGTTAAACCATCGAATTCCGACCACCGGAGAGAGAGTTATGACTCCGGGAAGCAATTTCGCCGGTTGGAGATCTATGGAGGCGGGATTTGAATCTGAGAGTTGAGAGAGGAAGAGAGAGACGACTGTGAGTGGCTACGGTTTGAAACTGATTTTAAAAGGGCATTATAGGTACTTCAGGATGACCGAAGGGGTATGTCAAATTATTATCGAAATGGAGGGAATTTGCATAAGGATGCAATTAATCCTATATAATTTCGAAATGAGGGGGTCTCCAAACTAATCCCATATATATATATATATATATATATATATGTGTGTGTGTGTGTGTGTGTGTGTGTGTGGGTGTCTGTGTGTGTGTCAAATTGATTAAACAGATTGACTTTTAATTATGAGGGATAATAAAATTATTCCTTTATGCTCGTGCTTGATAGATTTAATGCTATGGTTCAACATTTCCCGCATATTTCAATATGGTTAATGATTGAGAAATTACAAATTCTCGGACAATATTGAGCAATTCTATTTCTATCATTTTTCATTTCACTTTAATTAATTTGTAGATTAAAAAAATAGAGTGTAAATATAAAAATCCAATAAAATAAGCCAAACCAAACCAAAAGAACAACAAAAAAAATAACAACTTTCTCATCGGAGAAATAGAAAATTCCCCAAACAAATTAAACGCCAAAATATGAAGGCTAAAATGCATATCTAGAAACCTTTTAGTATCAATATAACCCAATGGTCGAACATTATTGGACAATTATTAAACGCAGATCCAAACAATAGAATAGAGAGTCGAATTTCATTATAAAAAAGAAAGAAAGAAAGAAACATTCTCTAGATCTATCAATTAAAACAATATCATGTGCATAAAACAGAGTGCCGCAATGACATATCCTAATCTACTACAATAAAGTACCAAATAACTTGAAGTTAAAGAGCAAAGGTTTATCGAAGAAAATAAATAGTACTACAATTTCAATCCTTTTCAACTTTGACCTTCTTCAATGGTTTATTGCTCGACGCCTTTGTAGCCACATCATCAGGCAAACTACTGGTATCAACATCAACAAATACTCTTTTCTTGGGTGACTTATTTGTTTGAGTAACTTAATTATCATCGGAATTGAAATCCTATAAAAGTAAAAATTTTATTTGTATATTTTTTTACTTCATTGTTATTATCATTTACAAACGAATTTAAACTCACGTGAGCATAAAAAACTAATAGCAGGCTTTAAGTTAACTAAAATGTTAAAAAAGTAAATTAGAATAATACCTTTATATTATCATCAACTTCTTGAGAATTATTTTCTGCGGATATTGTCTCATCTTCTTCGTAACATGACTGCAACAAACAAATAGATATTAAATAATTGTTACCGGACCAAAAAACTGTATATATAATATTTATATTTATCACCTTTATAGAGTGCCAAGTCTTAAACTGTCATGTAATACCCTCATTGTTGATGCATTTTTCACCTTATAAACATGACAATTAGAACTTCTTTCCCAATCATACGATTGATTTCAGAAGGGTGACCAATACTATGATTTTCCTAAAAAATAAAATAAAATAAAACATAAAAAAGGCTTTTTAGTCTAGTGCGAATTTAAGTATACATAACATTTCACTTATATAGTAACAATACCTTGTAAGATGCATCCAGGAGCTTTGAAGCACTTTGTCCTGTCCATTGTGTGATAATACGATAAAACAGTACAAAAGACGTCGATCCAGTACTATCAGTGGCAGTAACCTGAACTCTGAACCTGTACGTAAATGTATAGTTATGAAAATTTTAAAAAATAAAAATAAAAAAGGCTTTTTAGTATCGTTCGGATTTAAAAAAATACCAACGTAACCAATACTATGGTTTTCCTAAAAAAGAAAAACAAAAAAAAAGAACATAAAAAAGGCTTGTTAGTCTAATGCGGATTTAAGTTTGCATAACATATCACTGATATAGTAACAATACCTTGTAAGATGCATCCACAAGCTTTGAAGCACTTTTTCCTATCCATTGTGCGACAATACGAACAAACAGTACAAAAGACGTCGATCCAGTACTATCAATGACAGTAACCTGAACTCTGAACATGTATGAAAATGTAAAGTTATAAAAATTTTAAAACCAAGAGTAATCATGGTGCAACAATTCAACTCAAATTATTTCTTAATATACTACAAAATCAAGTATACCTTGGTATAGCAAGAACAAAGTCGTCACACCTTTCGCAACAATACTTCTTTGAGATGGGCTCGGCCTTCCTGTTATAATTTTTACACGAAGAATACCACCAATTAGCTGCCGACTTGATCTCCAAAATTATCGCCGACACAGATCCAACACACTCCTGCAATATATATACATCAATGGTTTCTTAAACAATACTTATGTGTATATAAATATACACGATAAATATATTAGCATAATCAACTTACCTTTGTACTCTCAGTGCACTCATCTATGGTCATTATATCTATCTCAAGTAAATCGTTTCATTGAGTAAAAAAAACTGAGAAGATATGGCTAGCTGATGGGACATAGATTTCTTCGCTCAACGCGAACCTGGTCATTTACAATTATTAAAATATACTATTTATAAGTATACTAAAATTTCTATGTTGAAAGTTGGATGATCAAATTTTATTACTTATCCTTGTAGTCCAAAGCTTCCTTCGCATCCGGGTTGATCAGTAGTTTGATCCATGTAGAACATTTGATAAACTTGCGGTTACTAATTTTTATTTCAGGGTGAAATAAACGAAAAGTAAATAGTACACAATTTCGAATATATGTATGCATGGTTTGTAATTAGTATTATCACGTACCTTGGCAAGTCTTAGTCCTGAAAAATTGAAGTATGACCACAATAGTTCTATCTTGATTATCTTTGTGGGCATATGAATCCATTTGTTCTGCAAATACTTCCCATAAAGTGCATTTAATTATATTTTTCATGAAATGTGCAATAAATTATTAAAAATATTTGTGGGTCCATTTGGATGGAGGGATTTGGAGGCGGATTTCAAATCCATAACAACAAATCACTTGCACTTGTTTGGATTGAAGGATTTGACAAGGAATTTCAAATCCACACTCTTATTTTTAGCTGTTTTTTGAGCAATTGTGGTGGATTTCAAATTACTCCAAATTTGGTCATTTCAAATTCCTTCCCCAAATCAAATCCCCCTCAAAATCCCTCCATCCAAATGGACCCTATAAAAATACATCTAAATGAAAATTGTAGTAAAAAGTTATAACATTTAAATTACTCTAAATCTTGCTGAATAATGTCCAAAAGTTTGGTGTTCTATCATTTTCTAGAGATCTCCTTTATCCTTCTCTACCACATGGCCATTTACCATGGCTAGCTTACACCTGAACCATCGAGGGTCACACTGCTCGTGCACATGAGATCTTGGAATAAACGGTCAGAGATAAAAATGTTTTATCTTTGCATGATTGGAAGTCAATATGATTGGGTCCAACATTAGTAATTTGGAATTATGAATGAGAATAAGAAAAGGAAAAGAATAGGCGAACATCTTAGTGGACTTTTTAAATCGGGAAGTTTCCAAATTTAGAAAGTGCACTGAATTAGGGTTTCCACTTTTAAAAAGTTCGAAATCTAGAATTGGCCCTCTTAATAACGAGGACATTATAATGACTCCGAAAAATGTAATTTTTATAATTTTCCGATCATTGAATTGAGAGAAACGAGCGAATGAAGAACTAACGAACTTAAGTTGTTGGGCCCGGTCCAACTTAAGCCCGTTAGGGCTTTTATGCAAGGCACTATAAATACTTGATTTGTAGGTCTTGCACACAATACAAGATACAACCCTAATTCAAAACCCTAGCCGCTCACATCTCTCTCTCGGCCGATCTCAACCCGCGGCCACCACCGCCGCCGCCGTCGCCAACTCACCGGAATCGGCCACCCCTTGGCCGATTGTCTTGGTAATTCTTTTCTCTTTTCGTTTCTTTCGTTTTATTCTAACTATTTCGTGTCTAGTGCCACGTTTTAGTAGATCAAAGTATACGAGGTGAAATCCGAGAGGAGGAAGATTGAAGAATCAAAGAATCGAGGAGCAGCCACCTAGCCAACGACGCACGCGCTCCCACGCGCCACCCGAAGACAGCGCGTGATCCTCACGCGCCGCCGTTGCTCACGCCGTCGCCGCTCCCGGATTGCACGGATTGGTTTCCGCGGTAATCTTGCTTCGTTTCGTGCGCCTACCTCACGCTTCAAGAGGTAAAGTTTCGAATCCGTAGTCATTCGATTTTGATTTAATTAAGATTAAATATGTATGTTCGTTCGTAGTATATTGTATGGATTTATATGTATTAAGTGATTACATGAAATTCGTAATTTACTGCGAGCATGTTAATTGATTTAATGCGAGGATGCTAATTGATTTAATGTCGATTAAATAATTCACATGTATGTTGTTTTTAATTTCGCTGGAACCGCAAAGGTACGCAGTTCATTGTTTACAATTATCGAGCATGTGATTATGTGATTTAAATTTGTTTAAATTCGCATAAAATTTTTGTTTTCCGCTGCGTACACGTGTCCGATTCCCAACATATAAAACATCCAAACATTAACAAAACATGTTTTAACATAATTAAACATAGTCTAACATAAATTGAACATAATTAAAATCTAATGAACTAGCTTAAATCTTCAAGGTTGACATTAGGATCAAGTCCATCATCACTCTCACTCTCATTATCATCACTTTCATCTTCCTCAACCATCTCCATACTTCTTTCCCTTTCTTCCCCTCCCCCATCTCTATCCATCTCAACAATATCATCTCCATCAGGATCAACACCTCCACCTCTTTTTGTAATCCATTCATCATCTGAATGTACTTCTTCGACATCGATCTCAATATTTCGGAACTTTTTATCTTTCAACGTTGAATTGTACATGATGTACACTAAATCATTCATTTTCTTTTGAAGCTATTTGCTTCTTTTTTTCGTATGGACCTATAATTAAGTCATAAAGTAAATATAAAAATTAAGGATGTTTAATAAAAATATTATAAATTATAATAAAATTAAAAAAATATTTTACCATCTCGAATGCACTCCAATTACGCTCACATCCCGAAGAACTACAAGTCAGACTAAGTATCTTTATAGCGAACTTTTGAAGTTCGGGACATCATCTCCATAAATATTCCACCAATCAGATGGATGTTTTTTTCTCAACAATGCTCTTGCATCTTCCCTAGAAAACATGCCTTGTGCGTGATGGAATACATCAAGTTGTGTAATGATGGTATGCCTTTCAAACCGATCATTTACCAACTTATCAGTTGAATCAAAAAGTACATTTTTAACCTCCCTATGATTAGCATTGAAAGTTGGACGATAATGAATCCTAGGGTTTAAATACTGGGTTGCTACATGCAATGGCCTATGGAGTTGATTATTCCACCTCTCATCAGTGATATTCCATATAGGCCTATATCTATAAAATTGCATAATAAAACTCAAGTCTTCATGAATAAAATAATAGATAAATTAATTAGAATTGTATGAAATTATTAATTTACCTTGATTTCACATTGTTGAAGTTATTTTGGATCTTTTCTTTTGCACAATCCATCTCCTCGTACAAGAATGGCATAGCAGGTTGCTCATCTGAATCCATCAGCCGTAATACCTTGATTAGTTGTAAGGCTGCCCTAAGACACGTCACAACATTACTCCAAAATTATTATCTAACACAATCTTTTGAACTTTCTTGCCTTTCTCCGAACGAGCATGTGTGCTTCCCTTCCAGCTTGATGAAGAAAATATTGTAATTAAAGAACCCTTATGTTCACTAAGGCAACCCAAAGTCAAATATGCAGTTGCAAACCGAGTAACAGCTGGCCGAATCAAATCTCTTCCTTTGGTGTGGTTTTTCATCGAAGAGATGAGACTTGGTCTATTGTAAATATATGTAGTGATCTTTCTACCTTTCCTTATTTTTACTCGGTGAGTTTGCAGCTTCTTCTCGAAATCCTCTAACATCAAGTCTATGCAATGGGCTGCACATGGTGTCCAAAATAAATTCTTCCTTTTCTCCATCAACAATGATCCAGCTGCTTTGTATGACGCAGCATTATCAGTAATCACTTGCACCACATTTTTTTCCCCAATCTTGTCCACAATTTTATCCAACATCTCAAAACCTTTTCAGCTGTTTTGGAAAAGGAAGATGTGTCGATTGACTCCAAAAAAACAGTTCCTTTAGGACTATTAACCGAGAAATTACATATCGATCTTCTCTTTCTGTCAGTCCAACCATCCGACATGATTGTGCATCCAATCTTACTCCATTCGTCCTTGTTGACATCAAGAAAATTGTCTATTTCCTTGACTTCTTCAGTAAAAAAAGTCTCTTAAATGTTGTGGTAAGAGGGACCCTCAAAACCTGGACAATTGTCGAGCTATCTCCTCACATGCTCTCTCAAACTCGGGATTTCTCACTGTGTTGAAAGGGATCTCACTCATATAAGACCATTTTGCTATTCGCTTGCATGCGCTTTTTCGCAAATCCTTCTTGAATAGTTGATTCATAGTTGTTTGGTACGAACCTGCTTTTTCTTTCCCCTTTGAAGCATGATCCATGAATCCCAAGTGTGTTTCATTCATCGAACCCGAGGTGTCACACAATTTCTTTTTTTTCTTCCCTTTAATCTCAGCAAGAGTTGCTAGATTCTCAATCATACGGGTCTTCACATCATCTAGCACACTTAAACATGCAATAACATTTTCCTTTGTACCAGCAAGATGATTCTTCAAACAATAGACATCTCCGGAAAACAATTTAGTACAATATTTGCATGGAGATCTCTTCGCATTATCGTCAATATCAATGCCATACTCCCACCCAATATCAGTCTACTTCCACTAGACTTCTTCGAATTACTCTTCTTTTCCATAGACACAATTGAAGAACTAGAAGCAACCCCCGACATATTAATAAGAATCTGAAAAATAACTAAAAATTTCTAAGTAAATATTTGATTACAAAGACGGGAAATTGTCGAAATTTAATTTGAAAAATAGTATTCCTTGCAAACAAACAGAGACAGAAGAAAGAAAAAAGAAAAAAAAACAAAAAAAACACTCACCACAAACAGAGACAGAAGAAAGAAAAAAAAAACAAAAAAAAAAAACACTCAAAACAATAACAGAGGCAGAAGAAAGAAAAAAGAAAAAAGAAAAAAAAAACACTCACCAATTACCAGCGTCGTCTCCTTCGCAGATGCGCCGCCGTACCATTGCCTTCTTTGTTGTCGCCTTCCCTCACTGTTCGCCGCCTCCCTTGGTAATGTTGGGTTTCGGGCACGCATACGCAGCGGAAAACAAAAATTTTATGCGAATTAAACGAGTTTAAATCACATAAGCACATGCCCGATAATATAATTCAATTAATTGCGTACCTTTGCGCTTCCAGCGA